GGTTGTCCAGGACATCCAGATCTTTCTGGTATAATTCCTCTGTATATTCTTGCCACCTCTTCCTTATGTCTTCTGCTTCTATGAGGTCCCTCCCATTTTTGTCCTTTATCCATCTTTGCACAAAATGTTCCTTTAATATCTCCAATTTTCTTCAATAGATCTCTGTTTTTCCTTTTCTATTATTTTCCTCTATATCTTTGCACTGTTCATTTAAGAAGGCCCTCTTGTCTCTCCTTGCTGTTATTTGGAAGTCTGCATTCCATTTTCTGTAACTTTCCCTATCTCTCTTGCATTTTGTTCCCCTTCTCTTCTCTGCTATTTGTAAGGCCTCATTGGACAGCCACTTCGTTTTCCTGCATTCCCTTTTCTTTGGGATGGTTTTTGTTGCTGCCTCCTGTACAATGTTACGAGCCTCCATCCATAGTTCTTCAGGCTCTCTTTCCACCAAATCTAGTTCCTTAAATCTGTTCTTCACTTCCACTGTGTATTCATAAGGGATTTGGTTTAGATTATACCTCACTAGCCCAGTGATTTTTCCTACTTTCTTCAGTTTAAGCTTGAGCTTTGCTTTAGGAAGCTGATGATCAGAGCCACAAACAGCTCCAGGTCTTGTTTATGCTGACTGTATAGAGCTTCTCCATCTTTGGCTGCAGAGAATATAATCAGTCTGATTTTGGTATTGACCATCTGGTGATGTCCATGTGTAGGGTTGTGTTGTTGGAAAAGAGTGTTTATGATGACCAGCTTGTTCTCTTGACAAAATTCTATTAGCCTTTACTCTGTTTCGTTTTGAACTCCAAGGGCAAACTTACCTGTTGTTCCGTTTATTTCTTGACTCCCTACTTTAGCATTCCAATCCCCTGGAATGAGAAGAACATCTTTCTTTGGTGTCAGTTCTAGAAGGTGTTGTAAGTCTTCAGAGAAATTGTCAATTTCAGCCTCTTCAGCATGGGTGGTTGGTGCATAAACTTGGATTACTGTAATGTTGAAAGGTCTGCCTTGGATTCATAATGAAATCATTCTATCATTTTTGAGATTGTATCCCAGTACACCTTTTCTCACTCTTTTTTTGACTGTCAGGGCTACTCCAATTCTTCTATGGGATTCTTGCCCACAATAGTAAATATGATAATCATCTGAAATGAATTCACCCATTCCTGTCCATTTTAGTTCATTGACGCCCAGGGTATCAAGGTTTATTCTTGCCATCTCCTGTTTGACCACATCCAGCTTCCCAAGGTTCATAGATCTTACATTCCTGGTTCCTATGCAGTATTTTTCTTTGCAGCATTGGACTTTCCTTTCACTTCCAGGCATGTCCCCAGCTGAACGTCCTTTCGGCTTTGGCCCAACCACTGTATTAGTTCTGGAGCTACTTGTATTTGCCCTCCGCTCTTCCTCAGTAGCATGTTGGACACCTTCCCACCTGAGGGGCTCATCCTCCAGAACCATATCTTTTAGCCTTTTGTTTCTGTCCATGGGGTATTCTTGGCAAAGATACTGAAGTGTCTCGCCAGTTCCTCCTCCAGGTGGATCTCGTTTAGTCAGAACTTTCCGCTATGTCCTGTACGTCTTGGGTGTCCCTGCATGGCATAGCCCATCGCTTCTCTGAATTATTCAAGCCCCTTTGCCATGACAAGGCAGCAATCTGTGAAGGGGATGTATGTGTCTATATTACGTTATATAGTGAAAGTCATATAGTTTATAAGTAAAGGACAAAATATTAAATACAATCATAACTCACAACTTAGAAAAGCTAGAATTATCACCACGGTCACCTAAAGCAAGGTCTGAAATTGTAATTTTGTACTTTTTCATGGAACAAGGTAACTGATAAGACATTTCAAAGACAGGTCCTAGTAACAGTGCCAGTACCAGGGCAAGTCAAGCCATTTTCCTTGTTTTGTGTGCACATGGGGTATTACAAAGTTTCACTTGAAAAGAGGAAGGTCTCCTGCAAAACAGCAAGGAAATAAATCAAACCACAATTCTGCAAATAATACCGGCTTCTTGGGAAAGATTCACATACCCATAGAACCCTGTATTAGGCTACACTGCAACTGCTTTTTTAAAAATAGGACTGAGCAGGATGTAACAATTACTCAAACACACAGTGAAAGCATGGGAATTGCTCTTAACTGGGGGTGGGGGGAGGAGAAAGAAAGAGGAAATTTTAAGGCACAGAAACTCCAATATTGGTCCTCAGAACCCTACATTTTCCCAGTCTTAGGGGAAAAGAGCTGCTTACCAACCCAGTTTCTCCAAACTCCTCACATGGACATGGCCTTTACCACTCTTATAGGTTTTTATATACATGGCTGTTCCTCTCTTCCTTTCCAGCAGTAGCCAATCAAGGGAATCATGTTCCATATAAAATTTATGCTTCACTCCACCTGTTCTTTGATGCAGCCCTGCTGATATCTCTTTAAAATGTACTGCTTAGTTTGGAAGGGAAACTCATCAGAGGGATATCCAATCTGGAAATAAGGAGGAATTTCCTGATGGTGAGAGCCATTAAGCAGTGGAACAACTTGCCTCCCAATGTTGTAAGTGCTACATCGCTGGAGGTTTTCAAGAAAAGACTGGACGGCCACCTGTTCGGGATGGTATGAGGTCTCCTGCCCTGGGCAGAGGGTTGGACTAGAAGACCTCCAAAGTCCCTTCCAACCCTACGACTATTCTATGATTCCATAGGATGATTCTATGGGTGTAGGGAAAGAGCAAAGCCCCAAAATAGGAAAAGCAACTCTGGGTTAGGAAGAGAAGAAAGAGTCCAAACGTATATGGAGCACAGAGATCCATAAGATGTGAACATGCTGCAGATCTAAATAAATCCTTACCTATTTATTGCAAAGTCAGGGTGTCAGTCTTCACTTGTGGGTTCGAGAAGATCACAATTCTTTCTACAATTGTTCATATAACTGGGCTGTTCAAATGAGCTCCACCTGCAGTACCAGGTTTCTCTGCAATGTTTCAAACAGCTGTGTACTACAGCACTTTCACCATGGATCATAGTAATGTAAGAGACCTTTGTTATTCAATATTTTTAGTGTTGCCATATGCCTAATTTTATATTTGTGGGTTTTATATAATTGATTTATAAAGAGTTATATTTAAATTATTCTTCCAATTTTCTCCTTAATTTTAAGAAGATATATTTCTTTTTGCTACTGTTGGTTCTGGTCTGTTGCCGTTAACATGTTAAATACTTGTCTACATAGACAATGATAGTAGGATAAGAACTTTCCACCTTTATCTCAGGTCAAAATTGTAATCATTGATTGAAGAAGAAAGCTTCCTAATATAATCATAAAGACTTAAGTAGCATGGCTTTGTTTGTACAGTATTTGTGATGTCTGTTGCACTGTAGCACTGAAAGATTTGTGTTGCCCGAAGGGATAATGTTGTAAAGAGAAAGAGATTTACTTTTGTCTTAATGTGTGATCAGATTTTTTAAAAGTGCAAAAGATTGCCTCAGTCACAGTTCTCTATTAACATGCTTTGTGGATGGACAACTCCTATCTGTAATGTCTGTTTCTGTTTTCAGAATAGACTCACCAGAACAATCAAGCTTAAAATCACACCCTGTCTGTAGCAGACTTTCAAAAAAAAAGGGGGGGGGCACTGGCTGATACTTAGCTTTTCTTAGTTCTAAATGCTAACAAGTCACATAAATCATGTCTAGATCCTACAACATAGGTGAGACTGATAAATAGATCAGTCGTACACCATCGTTGAGATGCAGCTGATGGGCACAAAGCTTGATCTTAATAGTCACCTTAATAGTCATCCTCCTAATGGTTTAAACCTTGTGGACATATATATTTAGAAAGCTGCTCACTTATTTTATTTATGAATTCAAAGAAATCCTCCACCAACATCAAAACATAGGCATAGGTAAAGGAGGAGAATCCTTTAGAAACTGATTCTTTGGTAGAGAAAGGGGTGAGGAATCCGGCAGAAACTGGTGTTCTTTCTCTCTCTCTTTCAAAATGAGATATCCTCAAATAAATTATTTCAAGTTTAAATTAAGCAACATACTTAAGAGGTGGATAGAAGCAGAGCTGTCTTAAGAGAGATAGACTGGCCCATTTATTCTAACATGGGTTTGCCTCAGTTAGCTTTTGATGTATTACCTGCTTTGTTTTTATAACTGATCATTTTTGAGATAGCACAGCTTTCAAAACGTACATAGCACTGAAAGATTTCCAGGCCATGGGGATAACATTGTTAACTTTGCAGGAAATGGAAGAATGCTAAGAGTTATAAATACTGTAATATATTGACTATGTGCAAAAGAAGAATTAGCCACATTGCATTTATTAAAATACTACAGTATGAAGACTTTCAAATACGTAGCTCAAGTTGTTAAGTTTATAAAAGAAAAGAAAAGCCCTGAATGGGTTAAAATGGAAGCAGAAGGGAAATCAAATTATATTTATACTTATATACAACCAGATTGACGAGAAAAATGATTCAATTACAAAACCCTTTTAACATAGAATCAGTGCCATAGGTATATGAAAACTATTTATCCTCCAATATCCCCTGTATGCCCTTGTCTAGAATACCCCCATTTTAATCTCAGGATAAATATTTACAGTTTAAGCACTGGAGGGAAATAAGAATTCATAGAATTAGAGATGTATTTGTATAAGGAAAACCAATTAAAATCAGACAGTTACAAGAAAAAAACTACACAAGTAGTAGCTAACTGGTTACAATTAATTCAGATAAGAAATTTTTCAACTCAACTGTATAAGAGGTCAGGCCCTAAGAGACCACAAACAGAGTTGGAAAATCACTATATAGAAAGCAATAACAAAAAACAAAAACAAAAAAGGATTAATTTTATTAATTTTCAAAGGATTGTTGACAATGAATATGGTACCACTAGGGGACTTAAGAAGGTTTGGGAAACAAATTTAAATATCAGCATAACAGATAACATTTGGACGAAAATTTGGACCACTTAACCGTACAAATTGGTATCAGCAACATCTAAAGAAAATATGTTAAAAGTAGTTCATAGGTGGTACTTATGTCGTACAGAAATACACAGAATCAATAGAGAGACACCGGAATTGTGCTGGAAGAAGTGTGGATAGAAAGGAGTTAACTCTCAAAACCTCCCTTGGTTTATATACGAGAGTTAACTGTCTCGGGTTAACTCTCAAAACCTCCCTTGGTTTATATACGACCTGTTGGCACCTCTGGATTGGTTCTCCTTCCAGCCAATCACATTTCCTCTGTTGCTGCTGAACAAAATAGGTGTGGGTTCTATCACACGTGACAATAACATACATTTAAAGGGGCTCCATGGTAAAGAAAAGTTTAAGAACTTCTAGGTTAGACTATACAGGGGAGAAACAAAACAAGATAATGTTATGTAGCTATGGCTCCCCTTGTTGCTCTCTGATACTGAATCAAAAAATTGAGTAACATGAGCAATTGGCTGGACTGTGCTGGTCAGCTGAAGTGGTGTAAGCCAGATATAAAAACTGAATAATGTGCCATGCAAGAGTCCGAGGTAAATAAAGGGAGGATGCTAATACTATACATACACAGATGAATGTATAAGAATCTATTAATAAGAAGTTTATTATGATTGTATTATAATTTCTATTATTTTATTTTGAATGGATTGTATGTGTTACACACACACACACACACACACACTGTTAAATAAGTACAACCACATACCAAAATGTATGTCTTATAATACAGCCACGGAACCTTTCCTTCAGATTTTATATATAAAAAATGAAAGAAAGCTATAAAAGGTTCTGTGGCTGTATTATAAGACATACATTTTGGTATGTGGTTGTAACTATTTAACAGTAGATTGATCTGTATTACCTCACTCACAGTGGATTTATTTTTATGCTTCCAGTTCCCTCACCAAGAGAACATATCTCTTCTTTCAACCTCGCATTTCTTCCTCCTCCCATCTCAGAGTAGGGAGGGCCATCCTTTCTTTCATCTCAGGCAGCAAAATGTGTCATTTTGTCCCTGTCACAAACAGGGACAGGCAAATCCACCAATTTCACTTTCTCTTGTATTCACATTTTGTGACCGTTGAAAAGTTTGGTGAAAAAATAAGGCGAAACTACCATCTATCCCGTCGCTTGTCCCAGCTCCTGCCAACCTAGCAGTTGGTAATGGTATGCCGTGTCTAGTCACGTTGGCCACGTGACCATGTAAACTGTCTACGGACAAACGCTGGCTCTATGGCTTGGAGACGGGGATGAGCACCGCACTCTAGAGTCAGACACGACTGGACTAAATGTCAAGGGGAACCTTTACCACCATCTATCCCTAGTCACAAATAGTACCAGTTTGATTTGTTCCACCAGAAACCTGGGGGGCAGGGGGCGGGGTGGAATGCAGAAACGAAATAGATGCATGACTAAAAATAAACAAATAAAACTGAAGGGTTTATAGCCAAATCTCCTTTCTTTATGAGCTGTGATCTTGATAACAAAGCCTCTTTGTACACCTAGGGTTTAATTTTTTAAATGGTTTAATTGTAATGCAACCAAAGTTTGTATGGGGAAGGTGGTCCTTTGTTATACTCAAATCAGTTGAAGGTGAGGATATTTTTAAAAGTGGTAGTCTTCTAGCATGGGTTGGTTAGGTAGAAGAACTGAAAAATCTCAGAACTTTAGCAGTCTTCATGTAGTGCTGCATTACAGTACAGTATAAGGAAATGGTGATCAGCTAAGGTTCCTGAGGCACAGGGCCTGTGTCAGTTTGAGGTGGAGTACCAAGATGAACCACAAGATGTCAGTGCTAGAAAACGCACACAGATGAGACTGATACAGTGTATTAATTTAACATTAGCTTGACTGATTTAATAATAGCTTTAATGACCAACCAATGCCTTCTCTGGTGTCCTCGTTGTCTATTCTGACTATTCTGAGCATAACGTCTTTCTCCAATGATGCTGATCGCATGACATGGCTGAAACAACTAAGTTTTGTTATTTTGCTTATTAGTGACATGTCCGGTTTTATGAACATCAGCACTTCTTTATTCATTATCTTTACAGTCCATGAAATGCACAAGAGCCTTATTTTTCTATGTTTGGTTCATATCCATTATTGCTCTGCGACCTAGCATGGTTCAACGTTTTATTTCTTGGCTGCAATTGTCATTTTAATTGACCAGTGAACCTAGAAAGATGAATTCTTCCACACATTCAACCTCCTCCCCACCAATTATTATTCTGATGTTTCGATTCTTTTCAGTTATCATGAGTTTGGTCTTTTTAATATTTAAAAAGAGGCCA